TTGGTCAGGACACAATTAAAATGTTCTGCATCTCTTACAACTCAAGGTCTCCAGGGCATGGATTTTTTGGAGGGCTGAGACCAGGTCTATAAAAACCAAGATTTAATGTCCCTTTATCTTTCCCATAGAGGGACTTGTTCTTTTAACTGGCTCAATATCAATATACCCAGAGTGTAGAAAGTGGCCCAATTTCTTTGTCTTCTGACATCCTGAACCCAGAAGCAGATGGACGTTAACCAGCTCTGATTAGTTGGGGGAATCAAGCATTAATTTTTTATACGCCAGGACCACCTGAGTGACGGAAATCAATTACAGCTGCCCCTCCCCCTTCCATATTAATGTGGTGGCTCCGAGCAGAGATGGAGGAACCTGTTGAAATGAGAAACCCCTATTTCTTAGTTTGACCCCCTAGATAATTAGGGTTAAATTGATATGCTATCGCACTGGTGACACATTTTATCTGCCTCTGTTTGTACAAGAGGATACAATAGTGGAGGAAGGACCAATTTGTGCCCCACTTTAGCTAACCAGACCGAGATAAAAGGTGTCACTAGTACGATAACATTCTTGTCTCATGCTCCTTTATTGTTGCTCAATTTGCCTTTTTTTTTTTTTTTAATCCTGTTCTTTTTCTTTCAATACCCTTGGTCATATTTTAACTCCATGCCATCGCATAATGACGCCCTGCTAAATGTGTGTGGAGATAGGCAACTCTGGCTGACAGCCTTCCCTGATAACCGAATTCCAGCCCATCCATCACTAGGCTGCTCTCCTTAACTTAAGGAAAGTGATAACTAAAGCAAGGCCGTTTATCACCGCCGAGCTGTGCGCTTCTTGCCGCCTTGGAGAGAGCTGGCTTCAACAGGAGAAATGCAGCCATGTCACCTCGCCTCCCATTTGCATCCCGTTCATCTCCAGGCTCCATTTACCCTGTGGAGTGGAGGAGCAGCGCTGGGTGGAAATCAGAGCCTGGGCTGGTGAAGCTCTCTGAAAATGGGGCAGAGCTGCCACTTCTTACCGCAGTCCAAGGAGGACTTGTCTTGCTTGGCTGGCAGAGGAGAGCGTGCTACCTGCTGTCACTTGCTCTTCTGTCCCAGGGGGACCTGTGTTTTGGGAACAGGCTGAGGTTATGTGCTTGCATCTCTGCTTCTGGGAGGAAAGACTTTACCAGAGCTGCATTGGAGGCTGGAAAATCCCACAGCCATTTTCAGGTTTCTCTCGATCAAGTGCAGTCATACCTGAAGCCACGGTGTTTGGCTGACGGGGTGGTTTTGATAGTCAGCTTCCTTCCCAAGGAACGAGAGCTTCAGTGTTTGGGTAGGCAGCAAGACCTCGTTGAAAAGCTGGAAGGATCATGGGGTGTTGAATGCAGTGAAATGTGCCATCATTCCTCTTCTGCCTTACCTGAGGGAGGGCTGAGTCCTGAGCTCTTTGCTCAGGCAAAGCTGCCCCCAGTGATCAAGGTTGAATTTTGTGAGAGCTAATAGCCATACTGAGAATAAGAGTGCATTTACCAAATGAGCTGCTCAAATAAATGGTGACCCTGGTAAATGGAGATACTTCCTTACGGGCCGTGACATTTCTGGTCCCAGGAGAGCTGCAGGTGTTCCTTGTTCATGCCAGCCTGGAGAAGATGCTGGAGAAAGTCCTGCTTGGTCACCAGGCTGAGGAATGGGGGACCACTTCAGGTGACAAGCTTGGAGTTGGGGGAAAGACAACGTAGGTGTGGTTTCCTTCCCATTGCTACCTGGGGACTTGATTTCTGTGCGGTGAGAACCCCTGGTTCCCTGTGCTGGGAACACTGCATACCCAGACTAGACCAGGACCAGGTTGCCCAGAGAAGCTGTGGATGTCCCATCCCTGGAAGTGTTCAAGGCCAGGCTGCTGGATGGGGCTTTAAGCAACTTGATCTAGTGGGAGGTGTCCCTGCCCATGGCAGGGGATTGGAACTAGATGATCTTTAAGGTCCCTTCCAACCTGAACCATTCTATGATTCTATGACAGCCCTTCCTAAAGGATGAGGATAGTGCATTGAGTGGCTGTATCCATGCTGGCCTGGATCCACCAGACCTGCACCTTCCAGCTCAGGAAGTAGACTGATGCTTTGGTCCATGCTGCTGACAGCCCACCCAGATTGTAGCATGAGTGTAGGTTTTCTAGTGCTTGAAAAACTTGGTGAAGTCTCCCTGGTGGTAACGTGAAATGAGGGGAGCACGAGCGGGGAGGGGGAGGGGGAATGTCCTCAGGTCACACAGCTTCACAGGCAGTTTCTGGGGTTGTTACTTGTTTGGAAAAATGGGTCATTTATTTAGTTGACATATTTATTTGGAGCATTTATTTTCTCCAATTAAAGACCCACTGTCCAGCGCCTAGGGCACACTGCCATCAGTCTCAGGGTGGAAGTAGAACCAGACTGTCCAGTTTGCTGGTCCTTTTGGTCCCACAGGGATGGAAATGCTTTAGATGTCATTCATTGCACTGGGTGGTTAGCTGTCAATTCCTGTGGCTAAGAAGAACGATGCTGTACTTGCTTCTTCTGGGCCCTATCCAAATGTTAAGCGAGATGATAATTATTCCTCTAACTGGAGCTGGGCTGAGACCTATATTAATGAAAACCTCTTGGACTGGGAGGAGAAACCCAGCTTTTAGTAACGTACCTTGTGCTAAGTGCTGTCATCATCCTCTCTAGCTAAATGTGAGCAGTGTAAGGAGAGGTTAAGCTGATTATGTGTCTGTATTAGACTGGTCATTTCTTTTAGGTGGTTCCTTTTCTTGTGGTCCTTTTTTTTTTCAATTTGGGCACCAACAGAAAGCACCTTTTCTGGAGGAAGAGCTTTCTTAGTGTGCTGCTTAGGGCTGCTGGGGTCTGTTCAACTACAGGATGTCATGGACATATGTGTAATGGCTGTAAAATGCGTGGACCAGGCTGCTATTTATGTGACGGCTGTGCAATTGCGAGGAGTGACTCCAGGTGGTTTATTTCAGCGCGATGGCGCTAGCATCAGATGAGCCGTGCCCGGAGATGAGACCACGCTGTCAAGTCACATTGCTTACCCTGCAAATTGCCGTAGCCCTGCTGCTTGCAAGCTCGTTCTTTTGACAGGCTTCCTGCTTTCAAAGAGATTCCTCTGGCCCTCCTTATTCAAATGTGTTTGTATGACTTAAAGTACTGCTCCTAAATGATGATACGTGCGTCTTTTTGGGATCAGGCATTTTGGTTTAGGCACAGAGAGTCCATTCCTTTCCTAGCCTAAGCAGGGCTCACAAAGCCAGTACACTGCTGGGGTCCAGTGTGTGCTGGATTCGTTGGCCATGTATTCCCAGGAGATTCCCCTGGATATGTTTGCTAGATTCCTTCCTTTTCTTCCCATAGAAATGGAGGCAGCACCAAGACCAAACCACTCTGATTCTGCACTGCCCCGAGTCTCCCATTATCTGCAAGTATACATCATCTGTGTCCTTCCATCTCCTTATGTGGGAGACTGCTTATAGGGCTGAAGAGATGCTGCCCTGTTCACCAGAGGGTTTGGAGCTGGGCTGAGCTCTCGGGTGCTGCATTGAGGTGCTGATAGTGCACCCCAGCTCAAGGTGGTGTATCTGGCTTTTACCCTCATCTGTCCAGTGCTTGCTCCTGAATTTCAGCCTGGAGCCTGAAGTCCGAGCTGGATTATTCACTCTTTCCCCTATGGAGAATGGGAGAAGACTTTGCCCTGAATGTTGGTCTGTGTTGGGATGTTTGAGCGGCTGATGCTGGCATTTGCAGTTCTTCCCTCCTCCCCTACCTCCCTTGACAGCCCCCAGACGCCCAAGGAAGTTATGAGATTCCCCACCCCCACTCTGTTTGCAAAAGCCTATTTCTGGGGTTGTGGCTTTTAACATGCACAAACAGCTCTAATTTAGTCATTTATTTAGTTGACATATTTATTTGGGATGTTCCTTTGCTTCAGTTAAAGATCCTGTGACCAGTGCCCCAGGCGTGCTCAGCAGTACATGAATGAGCAAGATCCATCAATTACTCTTGATCAGATCAAACCGGCCGGGGAAAACTCACGTAACTCATCTCCCTGCAGAGGCTTGGCTGGAGCCACACTCAGCGGCTTTGCCACTCAGCCTTCCCCGTCTGCTGACAAAGAGGAGGGACACAGCATCACTCCCCTGTGAAGGCACTGGCCTGGGCACAGTGTGGGGAGAAACAGTTTTCCAAATCCTGGGGTCCTGCTGTCCCTTCAGGCAATCTGCCTCCTTTACTGGGGCTGTTTTATTTTGTAAGCCCTGGTCCAGCGGCTCCCTGGAGCAGGGAGAGGTTAAATGCACGTGCTGGGAGCTCTGGCTCCTGGGGCTCAAGCCCATAGTGGGACAGCACCTTATATCTTCAGCGTTGGGACTGCTCTCTTCTCCCAAGCACCTGCTTGGAAAACAGCCTCTGTGTTTTAGCCTTAAAACATTGGTCCTGCAGCGTTACTACCCCCAAAAATAAGTGCATTGGTGCCTCCTTTCTCCCTCTTTGCTGAGATATTACAACACCACACTCAGTGTTTTAACCACAAAGGCCAAGTGGAAAAGCACCAGGGCATGACAAGTGAATTGTCAGCCCTTCCGTCTGCCCTGTAAGCCGCTGGCTGAGCAGGATGGTTTTGCAGGGATTTGTGATGAGTTCATTTAGCTAAGGACAGCCTGGATGCTCCAGTTGTGTTTGTGTGGTGGCCCCTGTGGAGAAGAGCCGTGCGCTGCGCTTGCACACAGCTCCTCTTCAAAATGTTCAGCCTGAAAAAGGTGTCAGCAGTCTGGACGTGGCTGGATGGATGTAAGTCTTCAGCCAAGCTCTGCTCTTGTGAGATATTTTTTTTTTTTTGCCCAGAGCTACGGTCCTTCTGATGTGCAGCGCGTTACGGCCGACTTGAGGGTCTCTTCCATCTCCCAACGAAATGTACTTAAGAAAACAGAGTTTGTGTTGTCAGGACACTGATTGAATCAAACCTGCTCTCTCTTCTCTCTTACAGGTTACCAGGACAATGCCAGTACTTAGGGCTGCCGGTTGCTGATTACTTCAAACAGTGGATTAATCTGAAAAAGGTACTTTTGTGCAAACTGCCATGGTCCCCGTCTCCCTCTCTCCCCCCTCCCCGTGTCCTTCTCCTTTCCTCTTGAAGGAGGTGTCTAATAACTACTGCTGTTTTGCATTGAAATGAGTTATTTTCTCAGAAGCTGGGCTGAGCGAGTCCTCCGGCTCCCTATTGTATCTCCTCTAATAGAGTCTTACTGTACTTGATGGGATGTGTTCTGCAGCTGGGGAGAATCCCATTGTGGCAGGCACAGTGCGGTGTCTCCGCATAATAGTGGGACACCGTGAGGCCCCTCTTGAGCAAAGGTTGTGTTGGCCCCAGTGTCGCTGACGCTGTTTTGTTTTGCAGCCGTGCGAGGCTCGTAGGAGCACAGTTCCCCTGAGATTGAATACTGATTGATAAACATGTGGAATTATTCCAGTATACAATCAGCATTTCCCTTTGTGGTATGGGGAAGAGGAGAGATGTCTCAGAAGCAGGTCCACCAGCGGTCACTTTGCAAAGCAAAACGCCTTGCGCTTCGGTGTCGGGTGTCTTGTGTCGCTCCACACCTTCTGTGGCTGGTTAAGGAGCAGCCTGCCATGCGTCCAGGGGTCTCCTGGCACAGCTGCTCCATCTGCCCAGAGAAATGTGGTGATGCCATAAGTCACAAATCAGTGGGAAGAAAAGAACAAGGGTGATCACAAGCAGTAGCAGGGCGCGACGGAGGCTGGGGTCTATGCACAAGAGAAACTGGGGTAACCCTCCTGGTTAAACCTTTGGGTCCCATCCAATTTAATGGTTTATTTGGGTTTCTGTGCCTTTTCCTTATAATTAGGGGTCTCAATAAGTGGAATTTGCTTGTAAACAGCTCGTTGTACTTGTGGGCTTTTCTTTTGTTCTTTTATTTATTTATTGTTTTAAATGGAAACGTGAGTGACAGGCTGAGCGGCCACAGAAGGACAATTTGCATGATCTGTTCCGTCAAATAGGGTAGAACATGAACTTAACAAGGGATGCTGGCAGCACATTCCCGGCTGAACTTGTCAAAGGGTCTTGTATTTCCCTGCTGTCAGAGCAAATCTTTTGGCTGATTGCTGGTCCTTGGTAAATGAAATCTGAAAGCACATTGGGGCATTCTGCAGTTCAGTGACCATTAATGATTGCCATTTGAAGTTCACTAAACTTCCGGTGAATGGATAGCAGCTATATAACCAGCAGGTTGATGGCTCTAGAATAATAATATTTAAAAAAAAAAAAAAAATCCCGATGTACCATGGTGTTCACTAAGAAGTAGGTTGATCCAACTGTGCTCCTCCTCTGGACCTCAGGATGAATGACTTGCGGCTCTTTCCCATAGTTCAAGGCTCCTGGATTTAGCCTGTTGGGAGCTGGGATTCTTCATAACATGGACATCCAGTCAAGTGGCTGTTTTTCAAGATGGGTCTTCACATATTGGGTGTCAGCAAATACTGTGATACTAAGCTGAGGGCTGGTGAGCATCCATGAAGTACAAAGCACAGGCCTAAAGGCGGGAGGAGGAGGAATGCGCTCCCCTGCCAGCTCTCTGCTGTGTGGGATAGGGGCACGTGGGTTGGGGTCTGTGTCCTCTTGTTCCCCTCTGCAGATGTGTTACTCAGAAAATAAGATTCAATCTCCTTCAGATACCGTGGGGAGTGGACATGTGTTAGAAATGTTCATCTTCCTCCAACCCTCCTAATCCCTTAAAAATCTGAAGTTTTTCTGACTCTAATATCTGATGCCATGTGACACAGGGTGATTACGAAGGGTCCCTGTGCCTCTCTGGGAAGTGACCCAGGTTGAAGATGAGAGCAGGGATTTCTGTCCTGTGGGTAAAGAGCTGCCTCCCCTGGGGCTAGCTCTTACCTCGGGGTGAGGACCTTTCCATGCCACTCACTGCCCTGCTCTCTGGCGGTGCTTGTAGATGAACCACCTGTGTGTTTTCATGAGAGAGGATTTCCAGCCTAGATCAGTAATTCTGGCCAAGCAGCCGGACCCAATGAGACCTCAGTCTCTTTTGAGTGAGCTCCCAATTGTGAGACAAATGAGGTTGGACAGGTATCCAGCCCCCCTGCTTTTCCCTGCATAGCTCAGGTGGCCCCTCTTCCCCTCCCTCTGGCATGTTCCTGACTTAGAAATACGTCCTAGGCTGAGGCTGCCTCTGACCTGATCCATGAAATGAAGGTGTTGGGGAGCGGGTGGTGTGAAACTGCTAATTTCTAGGTCACGGATAATCCAGAGACTTGAATGTTTCAGATGTGAAGAAAACAGTTCATGTGAGTGTAAATGGCATTTGTGACTGAGAGCAGTTTCCTGCAGCGTGGCCCCACCGGTGTCTGCGATCTGTCCTTTGGGTCTCTACTTGTGAGCAGTGATACCAAGACAACTCTACTGAGGTAGGGAACTCTAGAGGATGCTATTGATTTGGCAGGCTGAAAGAGTTGGGGTTGTTCAGCCTGGAGAAGAGTAGGCTCTGGGGAGACCTTATTGCAGCCCTCTGGTACCCGAATGGGGCTACAGGAAAGATGGTGATAGGACAAAGTGTGATGGTTTTAAACTGAAAGAGGGTAGAATTAAATTAGATATTAGGAGGAAATTTTTCACTATGAGGGTGGTGAGACGATGAAACAGGTTGCCCAGAGAAGGTTTGGATGCTGCATCCCTGGAAGTGTTCAAGGCCAGGCTGGATGGGGCTTCGAGCAACCTGCTCTAGTGGGAGGTGTCCCTGCCCATGGCAGGGGGGTTGGAATGATGATAATTATTCCCTTCCAACCCAAACCATTCTATGATTCTGACTGCTGCCGCAAATAAAAGGCAATGCAAAAGAGTGGGATTACATACGGAAAGGTGTGTGCATGAGGCAGATGTGTTTGTGTACTTGTGTGCAGTGTCATAGCAAAATATGTTCCAGATTTCCACTACTCATGCCCACATGGCTTCTGTTCCTCTTTGTCTCCTTTCTGTTTCATTTGAAGAAGCAGTGCTTCCTCTGTGCTGCCTCTACCAGAAACTGGGGATGCTCCACAGCTCAGAAGTCCCTCTTCCCGAGGTGATGAGATGGTCTTTCTCAGTGTTCATTCTACAATAAACTCCTTCCCTTGTCACTTCTGTACTGTAGGAGCAGTTGAGGCGAGCATCCTGTGTCACCAGGCCTATTTCAGAGTTTTCAAGACTTGCCACTTGGGCAAGCTGAAGATGAGAATCAGCCCCTGTTGGCTGCCATGCTTGTGTCACCTCAGGAAACCTTTTTGGATTGATCTGGCTATGCAGGCGGTGGTGAGCTCCAAACCTGACAGCTGTGATGGTGGATTCATACATGCACACAGCAGCTTGGGATCCATGAAAAAGCCTTCTGTGGAGGACAAAGGGAGAAAAGCTGCCTGTGCACTTGACCGTGTTTGCTGAAGGTTTACCTTGCCCTGCACCCCCCCAGCCTGCTAATGCATCCCTTCCATCAAGCCTGATCGGTGTTTGCTGACGTTTTTAATGTCACTGAGCGATCTTGTATCTCTAGTGAACTGTCAGTGTAGAGCTGACTCGGGGCAGAGAGTTTATCATGTTCTTCACTTCGATTAGCTCAGCCTTGTGGGAGGGCAGCAGAAAGCAGAGGAGGCTGCTTCTGAATGCTGCAACGTTTCTGATATCCCCCTAAACCATCTTGATAGAGAGCCACCATCCCGGCTGCCAGTTCTCCTTATGTGCCTGTCATGTCGATGCGCAGAGGCCCCGTGGGTCAGGACTGAGGTGCAGAACCTGAGCTACGTTGTTGGAGCTGGTTGCTCAGGATGGAAATAGCAGAGAGCGCTCGATGTCAGGAGCGAGGGGCACCAGTGGAGAAATAGGTGCAGGAAGTAGGAGGCTATGGGTCAAGATTTAGGTGAAAAGGAAAGCTGCTGCAGCTAACGAGCTACAACCAAGCTGCTGCCCCAAGAGTATCCTCAGGTAGCCTGGATAAATTTGTTAGTGCTTATTCTAATGCAAGGATCAGCTCTTATTTGTGTTCCCTTTGCTCTTTCAGGAGCCTCTGTGGTTGTGGTTTATTGTTCCAGGTCCTGCTTGAGTTAGCAGCGGGGTTGGTCCTGTGATGGATCCTCACCCTGCGGGGATGGAGCTGTGTTAGGCTGAGGCCACGTGCCTGTGATCGCAGGGTGGGCAGGAGCCTGGGAACAGGAAACCCCGCAGGGGTGCCAGCACACTCGCTTTGGGAAAACATCAAGGAGCAGAGAGCGATTTGGTGGAGGGAGGAGGTGGAAGAAGGGAGGGGTGAAACTAGATTTTCTTACAGTTAGCTTATGCAAGAAGAACATTAGAAGGATGATGAAGGTGTCAAAATGGCAAGACCAAAGGTTTAACCCAAATCCTCTCCGTGCCAGAGGCCAATAGCCGATGCTTGCAGGTGTGACAAGGAGAGCATGGCTTGAGTTGGCTTTCTCTGGTTCCCACCTCTTTAAGGACTGTGAGCTGACAGCTGCCCCTGGACCACTGTGTCTAACGCCCACTGGTTTTGCCACGTCTGTTTCTGAATCCGCTCATGCTTTTGGTTTCTACAGCATCCTGCAGCAATGAGTTTTGCTATTTAATTATGCATTAATTGCACTCTGTTTATTCATACGTTGTGTGAAGATGCAGGTCCTTTTGTTTCTTTTAAACCTACTGTCAGATCGTTTTCCTCCGCCTAGGTCTTGCATTGTGTGAAAGGGCAAATAAGTGTTTCCTGTTCTTCCCCCTTGTGTTATTCTTGATTTGAGACTTCTGCCATACTCTTCCTTACTTGTCCCTCTTCCAGCGCAGCGTCACTTGTCAGAGGGCTGCCACGAAGGCCCTTGCAGGCTCTGTGACTCTAGAACTGGCTTGTAGAAACTATTTTTAACACTGTACACACTGTCCTGATCTTCCATTTCTTCTCTGGACATTATGCAGTTAAAAGATAAGAGAGGAGTGTTGGATGTAACCACTAAGGGTTTGTTTTATTCCTTGTTTTTCAAATGTTATTTTATTTCTTTTTTAAAA